AAGAAGGTATCCCAATTAGCGGCCAGGGAATCCAGGGGAACTTGCTCGTTCTCACACCCTAATGGACTTGGGATGAAACTGGTCGAAGTTCGGAAGTAGCCGGAATGCGCTGCGAGAAAGAAATTCATCAGCACCTATGACTGTCGCCGGCGGCCGATGGGTTACTGATTCTTGATTCGAGAGCGCCAGTACGAGCGCGGTGGAAATCGTGTTTCGTGTAGATATCGTGTCGAAATGAATCACGGAGGTGTGGAGGAGGGGCCATACTGAGCTGATTCGGTTCTGCCTAAAATGGGAATTGTAATAAAAAAAGGTTATATATGGGGCTTTGTAATTTGGTTCCTTGCTTCATTTCTTAAGTTGACATGTGTGGCCTTCTATCTTTTTTCTTCTCATTTGAAATAGTAATTTGGTAGTTAATCTTTTGTGGTTAGTTTCATGTCAACATGGATGGTAGCTAGTCCTTAATGGATCTCAAGAGAAAATTGGATATAGTAATATAGTTTTCTAATTAAATTAATAAATCTCATAATATAAATAATTAAATAGAATTTATGCATATCATTTAAAATAAAATAATAGAATTGAAAATTATTATCTGATGCTGAAAAATTAGGGTATCTATTATATTATATATATATAAATATATATATATATATATATATATATATATATATATATATATATATATATATATATATATATGTTAGTTTAATGCATTTATAATTTACATATAAGTTTGAGTAATTTTATGCTCCGGAATATTTTGTGTTTTGCTCTTTAAGTTAATGAACTAAAACAATTATAATAGAAAAAAAATGTAGATGTTAATTAACTTGAATATTTCGCCCTAATAATGGCTCTTTTCTTTTTTGCCTTTTTGCATTCTTTTTTTAGTGCTCTCTTCCTAATACATGCGGCTGTCTCCTATGGACTTGCATTTGTTGGTTGCTTTCTTTTGCTGGTTGATCCTTGGTTTTAATTATTTTGCTTAATTGTAATAATAAATTATTGACTTTAGATTTTATTTCAAATGTTGCAATCTTTTAGAGACTTTTGGTCTTTAAAGACTTAGAATTTCATTTTTTTAAATGCGTAGCCCTCATGAGATTTATCAAAACAAAAAAATAAATTAGTGAAAAAAAAAGATAAAAAATCTTGATCAATATTTAGTCAAAATGCGTAACAATTGTTGATTTTTATTTTTTTAATGTAAATGTCAAATTATAATTAATGTGGCTCAAAATATATTTTAGAAAAATAACCTTCCCTAACACAAAATAATTATGAAATTAATTTGAGATTAATACAGAACATAAATAATTATTCTGATAATTTTTTTTAATGTTCCCAACTCTTTTGGTTAACAATGATGCTTCTTGAATATGCTGAAGTATTTGGCAGTCAAATATGCTGAGCGGCAATATATAAAAATTCCGTACCTCACTATAAAGATGTTATTGATCAAGTTTTTAATAATTGCATCTTAGCTTACAATGATTGAATATGGCAGAGAGAAAGGTGCTCGACTGCTCCTAATAATTGCTTACCATATGGGCAGTAAATGTGATCAGTTTAAAAATTCAAAACTTAGGGATTATCTATGAGCTAAAAAGTGGATTGTGTGAGGTCAAAGAGTTGTTTAAATTATGAAACACCTTGATTTCAAGATTTGTGTGTTAAATATGTAAGATTATGGAAAGAGTTAGTGCATGCTTAGCATTGCTAAAATTCTCTCCTATACATAATAAGTGATATAGATTTTTTATGTAAAATGTAAGGAAAAAAAATCACAGGATGATTCAAGTATGGGTCGTAGATTTATAGAAAATATCTTTCTTTTAATTTGATAAACATTGATACAATTTAGTATGCATGAAGTATGGAATGGCTTCCACGGTGAAGTAGAATGTCTTTAGAGTTGGATTATCATCATAGATAATTGGTATCGATTGATATGCAAATGTCACTTCTCCCTTTTCCACACCTTTGGAGAGCATGGTGATCGACCTGTCAGCATGTGATGCACAATGGCATTGGAGTTAAAAGGTAGTACAATATATGGAATTATTACATTCTCATCTTTAGGCACATTAGATAGATATAATGTTGCTCTATCTTTATTTATAATGAAGTAAATATTTGTTGGAGTTTCTGATGCTTCGGAATTGAAGTAATTCGCCGAATGTAGATATAGATAATTTAGATATTTAACGTTCTAATTAGTTCTTTGAGCGACATATTTCAGCAGACACAATTAGTAAGGATGAGGAGTGTCTATAGAGTGATAATAATAAGATAAATAAGATTTGGGAATTGAAGTTGGAGGGGGGGGTGGGGTGGAGGGGTCTATTGATGATTATTTCAAAAAGCGGGAGGGGAAGGATGGGACACGTCAAGTAATAAATTTAGACTAAATAATAATTGATAATGAAGGGAAAATATTATTTTTCTAACGGAACAAGGGAAGAGAGAATGGGCCGGGGAATTATTTATGTCTTTGGGAGGGGCTGAAAGAAGGGAGAATTTGTAGGTTCTACGCTGCAGTGTTGATTTTTAGTGGTAAAACCTCTTAAAAAGGGAACGAATAATATCCACGGCGACCTTAAAACCTTAATTAGAATAGAATCCACATAGTATTTTGCTATGATTTCTGCATCTCCAAAAACTGATGTCCCTTCCATTGGTGCGCAGAAGGTGCTGTGTTGATTTCGATGTAAGCTAATTAATGTGACAAGTTTTCACTATATGAGTGCATTACATTAAATACAGGCGTAGATGTGACATAGTGACTACACCATATATCTACATGATTGTTTGCCTGAAGGACCGTAGTCTTTTAGTACTCGTGCCGCAGAGACAACCGGCGGTCAGAGAGAGACGTTGTCTAGTGATGTCTATGGTCGAGTAAGAGACGTAGTAGAGCACAGAGGTCATAGGCCGTTAGGCGTAGGGAGAATAGGAGTAGATGTTATGATACCTGATGTCTTCATTTTGTAAGATACGTTGGGTTGATTGTATTGGCCTGGAATCGTTTAGGAGACGTTCAAGCGTCAACATGACTCTCTGAAGCAACTCTTTTTAAGCTAGGAACGTCTGAGATATAGACACTATCGGCCATTAAAGCTCGTGTACGTTCGAGCTCTGACCTTCTGAGCATGGTTCGAAGTATCGATCGGGCCTTAAGCGGACGGTCGAGTTTCAGCAGGACTAGACTGAACGTCGGGGCACGTCTTAAGCGAACTACAGTCCATCGAGATTGTCTCTCTTAACTGAAACATTTAGGTAAATAGATCAATCGGGCACTTAGAGAAGCACGATCGGTCTATCAAAACAGGGAACGTTAGGATAGGTGACAATTGAGGACTGATCGTTACCTTAAAGGTCATTTTCTAGTTTCACTGAAACTCTTTGGTATAACAGACGTGGGGTGGTGGAGTTGCGTTAAGTGGTATTTACCTGTCAGAGTGGATTACGGAATTATTTTTCTGCAAGTTCTCGTTGCATGCTTTCATGCAAGCTAATTCCTGCTGGATTATTCGACTGGATGAGCAACATTAATATATTAACTTTATTTTAGTGAAATCCTCTCCCTCTATCTTATAAACCATTAGGAGGACCGTTTCCCCTAAAACCCGCAGCCTTTTTTGAAGGCCGAGTCGAGTGAGAGGATCTTGCATTCCTCTCCTCTCTCACCCTCATCTCTAGCATTCTCTATAGAAGTGTCACTCTACTATTTTGAAGATATATGAGAGCATATCTAAATTCACTAGAATTTATTTTTTGAATTGCTTGTCATTTCGCGAGACCAGCTTTAAAATAGGCAGTTTATGCATCGAGAGAGTGTTCGAATCAAAGATTTGAGTTTATCGAAATAGTTTATTTTATGAAGACGACCAATATCGAATTTCTCTTAAGCATGCACCGTCATTGGGCAATTGCCTATCTTGAGCCTCATGAATTTTGATCCACCCCCTTAATGATGTCGAAGCTTCTGTGATCTAATGGAAGCAGCGCTAGTTTTCGAGATGATCGTGCTCGAATAACCGAGCACGTTGTCAGACTTTTTCGTGAGTATAATCATCGTCAGAATATCGGAGACAGTTTGATAACTCACATTGCCAGGATTGAATCCTATCCAACAGATTGCTTTGAGCCCGTGGAGGTGTCGGACTCATTTGACTAGGATTAGGTTAGATCTGGTGGCGTTGGTCGTTATGTTATCAAGAGCAGCTCGGGGGTTCGAACCTGGTAGTTAGCCGTTGGCTGACAGAGAGTCGGAGATTCGGAGTGCTAATCTAACCGCCAGTTAATTTCTAAATCTTCGAAGTTTAGATCTTTTGGCCTCGCAGATTCGGCCCCCGCATTACATAGAATCATGCTTAGTTTCGATAGCAATGACCGTCTATCAGAGCGATAACTATGGTATAGACAAATCCTTTATATGACTCTCCTGGCGCTTCGATGCTAAATTATAGCAATTATTGTCCATTAACGCCCGAACCCGACCGGACGCGAGCTGGATGCGGGCACGCTAACGATGCGACGCGTGCGGGTTGACGGCTAGGGAAGGCGCATGTTCTGATGGCACAGACGTATACATAATAGTGTGTTAGGTTGAACTATATGATCAATATTGTAGTAAGTCAGCTATCTAGTGGCCATATAAGACCACCATATACATATGTCGTTAGTACCGAGGGAGTGCAGTGGTCTGACTCCGCCACGCAAATAAATTTATCATTTTTATGTGCCGACAACTGTGCGCAGCGGATCGCGTCTTTAGTCTAATGGTAGGTTCAGGCGCGTGGCATGATGGCTCCAGCGACCGCAGATTAGAGCGCGTACCCGATTATTGGCGGCCTCAAGCAACGCCGGCAGGCGCGGGTACCCGGGGCAGCCTCAGGCAGCTCATTCTAAGCGGGTTTCCAGGTTGACCCGCCAACTTGTTAGATCAACTCGAACCCGACCCGTTTGTTCAAATGGGTCGAATCCTGGAACTCGAACCTGACCCGTTTGAAATCGGGTCGGGTCCAACCCAGATTTTCTGGGTCGGGTCCGGGTCAGATTTTCGTGTCGTGTCAAATATTGACACCCCTAATAGAATGTATAGATGATTACAATTTCTTTAGCCCATTTTAAATTAATTACAAAGCACGAAGTTCATCAAACGTCTAACAACTTTCAAGTTCCTTTATACCGAACAATGTAGGAGTCTCTCTGTTTCGTTCTCTGTTGTCAGCTCATCACCTAACCTCCTAACGACCCTACCTGGTATTAGATTTTGTTGGGTTTCGCCCATTTGGGTTCTTGTTTACGTATTCCTGAGATCCAATCTTCATCCCTATTGCTTTTCGACAAAATTGGCCTTTCCTCTTCGACGCTATCATTCTCTGCTTTCCCTGCTTCAGTAGTAAATATCTGTAATATTGAAAGCAAAATTTTTTTTTGCAATAATGAAGTTATATGTAATGTTTTTTTGCAATAATGAAGTTATATGTAATGTTTAATAAGTTTTTGTTGTAAGAATTAGTTTAACATATTCATTAGGATATTTTTTTGTAGAAACTATTTGAGCACCTTAAATATGAAGCATGCTATTATTTCTTTATATTTTTTATAATTACTTTAACAATTTGATTAGGTAAATTTTAACCAAAAATTATTGGAGTACCTAAAGTAATTATATTATATTTATTATATTTTTTAAGAATTAGTTTAAAATTATATTTAGGAAAATTTTTGAGTTAAAATTGTTTGAGTACCTTAAATTTTAATCTTTTAAAGTTATTTTTTATGCCAACGTAGTTTTGTTAATTACATTTAAGTCTGTTTCATACATTTTACTCTTTTTTAAAATTTATTAATTAAATTAATTAAATAAAATATTATTTTTGATGTATTTAAATATAATGCTTGCATGTAAGAAAGAATGCTCTGGAGCTAATGTTGTTGCCCCTCCTCATCTACCTACTCATCCTGATGATTGTGTATTCCATGACTAAATTATATGGGAAGATGTCGTGGCTACTGTTGAATTTGTGAAGGCATCCAATACATCCCAATGCTGTTTGGACTCCTCCATAGACCATCTACATTGGTGGTGGGAACAAAGAACTTGCATTGGTGTGAACAATTGTTGTTGTTGTTGAGGACAGAATATCCCCTCATGCGATCACTCCCTACATGTGCCCCACATCCTGCATCCCCCTTTGGGCTCGGGTCGGGTTGAATCAAGTTTGGGACGGATCATGACCGGGTTCATATTTATGACCTGTTTCTTGAATCGGGCCAGGTTGGGTTTGTCAATTAAAGCTTGGTCAGTTCAGGTTGAACCCAAACCTGACCCGAAACTCTATTTTGATACTCCTAGTCTAATGTAGGACATGCATATTGTTGCCCAGGGAAAAAAAATTGTTCCTGGGAAGAAGCTCCTGGAATGTTGTAACGATACATAAAAGCAGTTGTGGTTGTGGATGGGCTAGTATCCATATGAATTGACGGGTCTACAACCCGAGCATCGATGGCTCTTCTTTTTCTAGTTAAATATCTTCAACTCATGATTGATCATCCATAATGTGTATCAAACCCCTCACTTCAGTGAAATTATTCTATGCGGAGTCCGAACGTAACTAATCGTCCGGATGTGTGAGTGCAGTGGCGGAGCTAGGATTTTTTCTCTACGGGGGCACAAAATTTTGACATTAAAAATACTCTCAAGCTTTTTCATTTTAGCTTGAAATTGATGTTATGATTTTAATTTTTTTTAAATCATATTACTCTATTTCAACTACTCTTCTACCGTATATTTTCATATCTAATTTAAATAAAAAAATAAATTAAAAAATAATTTACAACGAACAATAAACATATGAAAAAACTGCATCTTTTTAATACAAAAGTATATTAAAAGTATATTAAAATTTATAATAAGCATTTTTTAAGCTACTTGATTTCAAATTAAATATTATAATTCTTTTCTAATATAATTTGTTGACTTTAATTACATAAATCTCTTATAAATAATTAACATTTGGAGTTTTTAAAATATAAAAAAAATGGCGAAATTGGTAATTAAAAAAAAGTAACGTGGAGATGAAAGAGAAAAGACTAAAAAGTAGTGTCACCCATTAGGGAGAGAGAGAGAGGAGAGGAAAGAGGGAGACCTAGGGTAGCGGAGGAGGCCGCCGGATATAAAAAAAAAAGGGATTTTTACATACATAACACTTGAAACTATCATATTTACTTATCTAACATCCAAAGTATACTATTTACATAATTACCATCCAAATACATCGCTTCGTCAAAACTCCATGAATAACTGATATCAGTGTCGCCACCAAGCAGCAGCAGATAAAGAAGCAGGAAATAGCAGAGGACGACAAAGATCCAAAGACAGGAAATGAAATAGAAAGCGACAACCCAAGAAAACTAACAAGAACCAGATAATCAAGAAGATCATCGCATGATCTTGATAACAACCCAGGATTCAATCAAACACCAGTAGAAAGGACAACGAAATTCACGAGCAAAACTTAAAATAGATTATTATTACCTTAGCCTCGAGCTCTATATGGACTTCTGATCTTGATAGCACCGAAGAAATGGAGAAGACGAAGAGCAATCACGACGAAGATGCGATGGGTCGGGCAGATAGAGTAACGGAGTGGTAATTTAGATGAAATAGTATGTATTTGGGTGGTAGATATGTAAATAATATAATTTGGGAGTTAGATAAGTAAATATGATAGTTTGAAGTGTTATGTATGTAAAAATCCCAAAAAATTAAAAACAAAAAGGCAATGAAAAAGTAAGAGAGAGAGAGAGTAGAGAGAAGATAAGTAGATGAGAAAAGAGGGTGACAACCAATGAGTTCTCGTACAAGAATTTTGGCACGTGCCCCTTAATTAGGTCCCCCTTAAATCTTCTCATGTGTGAGTGTACACAATGTGTAAATTTGTACACATTGTGTATTAAATTTTTGTACTCACTGGGGGGTGGGCACGTGCCCCTTAGGTCCCCCCTTAAATCTTCTCATGTGTGAGTGTACACAGGATGTGTAATTTTGTACACATAGTGTATTAAATTTTTGTACTCACTGTTTGTACACAATGTCTACACTCACAATCCGGACTATTATTCCTGTCCAGGCTCCACACAGAATAATTTATCCACTCCAGTGCATAGTTTTGCCACCCTACTTTCAGCTGTGTAATAATTATGGATATCAACACCCTCAACAACAAGGCATAGAGCGTCGGCAACATCCAAAAAGAATCAACGCTGCAACATTAAAAATTAGCAAATCTGACAGAGTAGGTAAAAACAAAAATATATAAAATTTACTTATAAATATCCTTTCATTTGTAAAATGTGAATAATATGCTAATGTTGCCTATGTAGGAGCTCTTAATAAGTATAAATGAGCCCAAGATTTGTACCACAACAAGTACCTCCTACGAGCTTTGTTGGGATCCACTTGTTGCAGATAAGGAAGATGAACTATAAGGTCATGTCTACATGATCAGGATGATGCTATTTAATGCGGCGCCAGTATATTATATAGTGCAGAAGACATTCATGTTAATAAACTCTACATGCTATTGAAAAGAAGTACTCATCGTGTTTCTCAGGTTCCATGAGAAGTTGTAGCATGATGGCTTGTAGTCACACACTTCAATGGTCATCTTCCACACGTCGCAACAAAAGTATCGTTAACAAAGAACCTACAAATCACGTTCATTGTGTAGGTTGGCATGTCGTATTAATTTAAGGGATCTAAGTATTATATTGTTCGACTCAGCCAGGGATATATCTGTTGTGGCACATGAATTGGATGTGTTAGACCTCCAACATACTTAGGCAAGAGTTCGTCTAAAATTGTTAAGGTATCGTTGTATTTTAGCATCAATTGTGCCATGTTACTTGTCATTTCAATGTGACATATATTGAAAATTATAAGCAAAGTGCTATAGTTAAGTAATAGACAAGGACAATCTTATGGTTGAACTAAAACTACAACAATATGTCCCTTTAGGATGATTACTATACTACTCAAGAATATTTGCTACCTAGACAAGGAAAGAGGTTAAATAATTTCAATATTTGTGTTATCATGTCTCATGTTATTGTTAGGCTAAATTTTAGATTCAATGTCTGTTTCAACACTTAGCTGAATTAACTAGTTAGGCATTACAATTCATCGACATTTAGGTGATCTCACTAAACATTTAACGGATCTTGCATAGCATGTTGTTGAGCCCATCTACATTGCCTTTTTGACCCATTGATACCCACGTTGGGTTGGTCACCACCCTTGTCGGGGTATCATAGTCTAGACCCACCGATGCTGTCACACGCATGCACTTATATGATTTCCTTACTATTTTGTTGCCAAGTCATGAAGAATTTCAAAAGGAATGCTATTGATGATGTCAACCCCAAGGTGAGGGCGTTAGCAGGTCCACATGTGGAAGTTGCACAAGAGGGCATCGATAGGTGTAAGCATATTGCAAGCTCACAAGCGAGGGTATCAATATGTTTTGCGGGCACATGACTAGGTTAGAGATTTTAACTGGGTTATTTTTTATTTTGTTTCAATAGTTTTAGTATTATGGATATAAATATTAAATGTAAGTGTGAAATATATAAATATTCATATTTTGAGAGCTATGCATGTAAATCCCTTTGTCTTTTCTTTATTTTCCTTGCACCAAGGTTATTTCTAAATAGCTTAAAGGCCATCATACTCAAGCATTTACTTACCCGACCACCTGAAATTTTCGAATAATATAGATTCATATAGTTGGTATCAATGTATCATACATGCCCAGTTATTAACCTAAGAGTTACACATTAAGTTTTCTCCATGGCTATGGTTGCAACTCCCTTGCAAAATGAGGATATCTTATTTGATTTGGTCTTTTTCTTTATCTACAGAACACTATTAAAAGGTTGCATGAGTCCATCATTCCCAACTTTACTGATATTGAAAATCATTTTTTTCAAATACATAACAATATTTAATATCCATGTTGCATTTGTGATGATGAAGACTTCAAAAACTTCATACGTTCAACATCTATGAAGTTCTATCAATCACAAACCAATTTTACAGTCAGAAAAGTGAAAGGCCTACTGAAGCAAAATAAATGAAGAAAATTACCAGGCATTGCATGAATATTATTAAAAAGACATTCGCATAGAAAATACATTAACTAAAATTCAAACGCATGGCTTTGCCATCGAACAACTAAGAACTCCGGCATTTGCAGTTAACAATGGAACCATTGATCCAGTTGCAACATAGAACTGCTGTGAAGAAGAATAAACAGGTGTGCAGCTTCCCCATCCCGAAGGAACAAAGTATGCTCCATTGAGAAAGAGGTCTTTTGTTGATCTCCATTTCCAGTTCTTCCAATTTCCTTCCTCTCTTTTGGTAACCTACAATGATACATGAAAGTTACATGAAATGAAAGGACACAACCTCTTTAGTATTTATGGATGAATAATTTGATAAAAAATTAATCACACATCAATTTTTATTAGTAGAATGATTATTTTTTGAATTATTCTATATCCATAAATTTTAATTGGCAAATATGATATAGAGAAAAATAATAATGTTGACCTATGCACAATGATATTTTTCTAATTCAACGGTTATTAGCATTTATCTTATTGTAATAAAAGGGCTATGATTTTGAAAAGAGTACGTACTATGTAAAACAAGAGAAAGATGCAAGCCTAAATAGACATTTCTTTTTCTCAATAATTAATATTTAATTTAATTTAATTACGTTAATAATGAAGTTTTGCTAATCATTGATCGACAAAAGCCGTTTTGTTAATCTTAAAGTGCTCTCGTGCATTAATGCTTTAATAAAAGATTCATTTATGTTCAGAAGAAATAATCGGATCTTACTTCCTTTGCATCTCGATTGTTCGGAGCCACGTAGTAGTTTCCTTCACTGAGAATAGTAGGATTTGAGCTCCCTCCTATGGCGTACATCTCCCATCCATCGTACCTGTTATTCGCGACGTGAGCGTAGCCTGTTCTGACCCTACAGAAACCATAGAAACCAGCTTTAAAATCTCACAATGAACTAGCTTAGTTAAATCTCTCCTATTTTAACTAATAAATAACTAAAGAATTACCGTGGCATTCTCTGGATCAAATCTACGCTAAATCGATTGAAGGCCACCGTCACCTTCATCGCCTTGTCAGGTGCAAACCCATCCACATGTCCAAACAGCATTACCTGCATCAAACCTCTTTGCTTGAATATTTGATTACAGATTTACAGGTGTTAATATTAATTTGTTTATCATGCTAAAAATATCCATTAAAGGTATTTAAGGTAGCTTAATATGACCTTGAAGTTACAATGCTTGAGTTCTGCTTAAAACCAGCACTTCCTCTCAAGGAAACATCGATACCGGACGGCTCATTTAGCCTAGGTTTTATAATATAGTCATCGGTAATAACAGACGGTTAAACGGCGGCTAAGCCGTCGGAAATACCTGAGTTTTCTACGGCCGGTGTGCCGACAATAATTAACCAGTTGTAAACTGCTGGAATTTACCGGCTATTTTAGCCACCAGTAAATGGCAGTCGGACTTTCTTTTTTACGCGATTTGTTTCGGCGGTTTGTAAACCGTCATAAAATTTACGAACCGCCGGAAAACTTATATTATTTTTTGAGGAACCGAGCACGAGTTGCTAACTTTTTAATATCCTTAATAGCAAATAATTAATAACCCGACTTACTTTATCATGATCAGCAAACAAATTATTCGAAATGGTCACCCTCGTAGAACCATGCGTAACATCCACCAACCCATCGAAGCATGACGACAAGTTACAGTGATCAATCCAAACATCCGTTGAAGACCAAATTGTTACAGCATCGCCATCAGAGCCCTGACGATGCCCTGCATGCGTTGGAGAGCTACGCACAATCCCAGCTTTACCTTTCGTGCATCCATGGATCGTAATCCCATGCACGATCACGTGGCTCACATCCTGTATAGTAATGCAAGGCCCGCCATTGCCAATATCGACCTTAACTCCTCGCCCATCGATGGTCTTATAGCTATTTATGATAAGCTCGTTCTTAAGTTTGATGGACATGTCTCTTGAGAAAATGATCCATAGAGGGTTGTTTTGGATTGCGGCGTAGCGGAGAGTGCCGGGGGTGGGGTTGAGAGGGTTGTCGGAGGGGTCGGTGACGGTGTAAATGGGGCCGTATTTGCCACCGATGGCGGTGGCGCCGAAGCCGCGGGGGCAATTGGCGAGGCTTTGACGATGGGATGACCAGAGGGGGTCGTAGCGCCAGCAGGAGTCAATGGGGTTCAAGGAGGGGATAGGTGGGTAGTATGGGAAGGAGGATGTGAGGGTGGTGGAGAAGACGACGAAGAGGAGGAGAAGGATGAGGAGGTCGGAGGAAGGGGCCATGGTGTAAGATTGAGATATGGTTTAAAAAGAGGCTGGAGAGTGGGAGAGTACTTGTGTGGGATTTATAGTTGAAGAGGAGGAGCTTCATGGTTGTCACGATTAATAATTAAGATATTTTGACTTGGCTGTGCTATGGAGGGAATGGATGACTTGAGAACCTGAAGGGGCTCTCGTGCTTGCACGAGTGCTGTGTAGAGCAGGTGGAACTATATATGTCAACGGGCTAGTGATGATCATAAGAAAGAATGGGAAAGAGAAAAGTTTCAAAATCTTCTGCCTAATATTCAAAGTTATTAGAGTTATTTTTTTATATGTATAATATATGATGAATTTATATTATATTCATTGAAATTCATCGTGATATAAATCTGATGAAAATATTCTAAATTTAAGATTTTTCAAACAAAAATTAAAATATTTTTTTTTATTAAAATTAATCATTACTAAATTCATTATGAAATCAATACAATATAAATTTTAATTAGTTAATTACATGTTGCATTTTTTTAAATAAATTCTATAATTTACATTTTTTTTTCTCAAAATAGCCTATAGGGAAATTAAACCACCTGAGCAAGCCGAACATTGTCAGGAGACCAACCAGAATGCGACACGTCACCTTTCGCTCTGTATTGCTCGGTACCGCGGCTCAGTACTGCGGCTAGGTACCGCTGCTGTGATTGCACCTGATTGGCCTCTGAACGTAGAGCTGTGTTTGACGTCCGCACAGAATAATTTTTCCTGAGCTGCCTGCACAATCAAAAACTTATCATATAATATTACAAATTGGAAAAAAAAATAAATTATGCTAACAATTTGATTTAATTTATAACAGAAAATTATAAATTGATTTTAAAAGTAATGTTATGTATATAATATTAACCTTAAAATATATTAAATGATTTTTAAATTTGTCCTGATATAAATAATATCATAATATCCCCACAATATTTCTTACGCACTTTAATTAACATTTAATCAAATAGTCAAATAAACATTTTAAAATTTATTTCTACTTTTAAGCTATTTGGTCAATACTTTCTCATATTTCATTCAATTATCTTAAATAAAGAAAAAAATTATGATCGTATGGGTAAATGTAATAAAAACGTCTTCGCTTATACCTTATAGCAAGGTTCGAGAAAAGTAACGTTCTTTGGGGATGAATGTGGTTACCGTTGGAATTTGAAATAGAGCTAAAAGCAAGGGGTTTTAAATGAGTTGGGTTTTTATTCGATTTGGTTGGTTAATTGTCTAATTAAATATAAATAAGTTTGAATTAATTAGGGCGTGGTTTTTTTGTCTTGGTCACTATAAAAAAACAGAAGATTTCACAGTATTTAATAGCAGCGGTCGGAAAATCGGTGCTATAACAGCGGTCGGAAAACCAGTGTTATAGACTGGTATAGGTAGCGGTTTTAATCGATGCAATTTTATTATTATAACAGCTGATTTAACTGCCTCTAAAACCTGCATTATATTCCTCCCCATCTGCCCTAACCTAGTCATTCGACCGCGCTCGCTGAAACGAGTGCTCGATCTTTTCTGCGTTCGCTCGCTGAAGCGTTCGTGGTCGCCTCCGAATTGCTATCCACGACCTAATGTCTTTGCAGCGTATTGTAATCACGGCGGACATCCAACGGTCATAAAACCGCTGCCATAAATATCTGTGGCGGGTACAACCGCAGAGAAAAGTTGAAATTTGTGCTGCGAAAGCCTTATTTTTTGGTAGTGGGTGAATTATCAAATTCATTGTTTGGAAAAATTCTAGGATGGAATGAGAATTTATTTTAACTAACTTAGCCTTTTTTGATGGCATACAAATGAGGAGTTTAGTAACGAGAACGTAAATTTTTATGAAAATATAATAAAATAAAATAATAATATTTCTTACAATAATAATTGAATAGCTACAGCTAAACTTAAGGGCATTAATAAATGACACTATCCGTCGGCCTGAGCCTGACCCTGACCCTAACCCGAAAAGTTCAAATTCAGGTTGACCGGTTTAATAAACATGATTTTTTAACTAATTTATTAAATGGGACGGGTTCAGATTGATCTACAAATCCATTTTCAACTCAAAATAACCCGTTTAACATCTTTTTCTCTTAAACTTTTTTACGTGTGGATTTAATCTTTTTATTTTTTATCAAGCATCTTAAACCTTATAGTTAATAAGTTATAAAAAAAATATTATTTTTAACTAAAATAGGTTAACATGTCAGGTTCAGGTCATTCAAGTTGCTAGCAAGTCGGGTTCGCTAATTTGGGTTGATCATTTTGACCCGTTCATTAAATGGGTTGGGTTCGGTTGACTAGACTCAAGTCAGGTAAATGTTGTGTCGGATCCAAACCCAACCGACAAATCCGTTTTGACTCCCTTAACTAAACTTAAAAGAGTTATACCTCATCACCCTTTCGGATAATCATAGATAGTGACTATGTAAGTTAAAAAAGTTTGTAATTGTAGCATAGAATGTCAGGCATCACATTCAAAGGTCGATATTGTGTAAATTAACTATTCAGGAGATCGTATTGACATATATATGTTTTCAAGGTTAAGACAATGAGGTAGATCTTACGTGAGTTGTTTATAACTTTGATCATCAACATTCAACAAGATGATATGCAAGCATTATTAAAGATGCTTAATGACTATAGGTAACAACTATAATGCTATTTTTCTAGGCAAAAACTCTTTTTATCTCATGCCAGATTTTTTTTTAAACAGAATAATATGTTAGAACAAAAGAAAGATTACAAGAAACATGAAGCAAATGCAAAAACATGTGTAAAAAACAAGCCCGTGGGCTCAGCAGAAGGCCGAGACTTCTAGCTTCCCAAAAGACAGCTCGGACAATCCAATTTGGTGGAAACAAACGCGAATCAACCGTCCCGACGAGATGAACACCAAAGGTTGCCACGAGTCAGCTGAGTGAGAAGCGAGTCCCAGCCACATCATTGTCCGGCTCAACAACCAACCACAAAACTAAAAACATAATTCTCCAAAAATTAAATCCACTGAAAGTGTCAACACGAAGGCACAGAGCATCAAAATTAATGATCATCCAAGCAGCCCAAAGAACAAATACCCAGACCAACCAATCAAAAGGCCTTCGAAATAAACCAAGAAAGCAGCACCAACAAGTGACAGAGCTAATTAGGGTTCTCCAAAATTGAGACTTGCATAAAAAATCTTTATGTTTTTGTTAATCATCCCTCCTAGTTCAAGTGACATATCCTACAATGATTATAATATTCCAACATGCACACATTATAAAACAGACATGCCAAGTTACTCCAATTCACCTTAATGTCTTTAATAGAAGCATCTCTGAAGATGAATTCTTCCATGAGCTTTAAAAATAGAAAAATTCCACTGACTTTATTAATAGATTTTTTTTTTCTTTTCCATAAAATTTCTTTCTCCCACATTTTAGGTTTTTCTATTCTTTATATTAGGGGTGTCAATATATGACACGACACGAAAACACAACTCGAACCCAACCCGGCTAGGGGTGTAAATATTTAACACGACACGAAAATCCGTGGGGTCTGGTCCGGGTCCGTGTTTTTGACCCATTTGCCTACCCGGGTCGGGTTAGGGTCGACCCGATATAACCCGGGCCAGTTACAGGTCCGACCCGAACCCGACAAGTTACCTGAAATTGACACCCCTACTTTATATCATATCTTATACACCTTATACATAATAGCTGATTTTCAAATCATTTCTATATATATTCATGTAATGTATAGAAGCCGGAGAATTGCACAAATTTTTTTTCTTGATAAGATCATGGCCTCCACCCCAAAGGAACAAGATTTTGGTCAAAGATGGGCTAAATTAAGCCTTTCCATTACATTTTCAAATGATTCAAAAGTTTTTTGACCGATTCAATTTGACCCCCTCCGTTTTGACATATTGTAATCATACAATTCAATGACTAATTATTTTGGATGATGATAAAATTTTTTTAGAAGGTTTAAGTAAGCCTCCTTCATATTTGACTATGATTATTGATATTTTTATTTGTATTTATTATTATAGCTTGCTTCTTTAGATCTGTTTAATTTTTTACTTGTATATTATTATCTTTATTTAACAATGGAAAATAAAAGAGGGATTTAATTAGAGAAACTTCAACTCAACTACAAAAATTCAACATCTAAGCCTACTTCAACACTAATCATTTTAGCCTACATTGAAGTCCTATGAGTTATTGTAACTCTCTTCTAATTTTATTGAATATAAGTCAATTTTTTCACCATGGAAAGGGTTAATTTAAGAAGATTCATGTTTCAACATAAAAATAATCAGGCCTCAATCTTCACTCTCCCATTTCCTTTTTGAAATAAGAATACTCATTGATTTTACATACATGCTACAATAATTAATAGCACATATATCATTATATAATCATTTGCGGTGATAGAGAGATAAAGAGCTTAGCATCCTATCTTTACACAAATATCCAACACATATACATATAAAGAGAGATGAGTGCAAGAGTCATAAGAAACACCAAAATTTTTATGTGGAAAATATTGAAAAGGAAAAAAAAACCACGGGATCTGGCCCAGTTGAAATGATTCTTCTAGCATTTCTTGTTGATTACAAATGATGTTCTTCCTCAAGGAGAAGGCCTTGGCTCAATGTCGCAAATATACATTATGTAGAGTACATTACATGATGAGAATTGGAAGAATCTTGTGATATGAGAGTTGTTCTCAAAATAATGTTGGTTTATTTGTTTGGTTGATAGGACCGTACTAAGGCGACAGTGGTCGGATGGAATGTAGTCAGTGGACGATGAATGTCGGTGGGACCGTAGTCGATGGGAAAAAATGGTCAGAGGGACCACAGTTGACAGGTGGTGGAGGACGAATGTACCGTAGTCGGAGTGTGACGGAGGTCGAAGGGACTTTAGTATGTGGATAATGGAGGTTGGAGGGACCTTAGTCAACAAATGACAGAGGTTGGGCAGACTGTGGTT